GAATAGGGGGAATACTTGGTGCTGATTACTAGCATCATCATTTTTACTGTTATTATCACTTACGAAAAATCTGCTCACATATAAAAAAAATAAAAAAACTTGTTAAATTCTTTGATTCTCCAAAACAAAATGAAAAACTAGAAAAAGCCCAAATAGCTGTAGCAGAAAAAGATCATTTACTTGTTCTTGAATCAATTAATACTGAAGTATATAGTAAAAGCAAAGAACCCAGTGAAGTTGATAATGGAAATTTAATAGAACAACCAAGTATAAATTCACTATTCCAAGTCTTTTGGCTAGTTAAAGATTGTCTCACATGTTGGAATTCGAAATATTGATCATGAAAAAGACTATTAAAATTAAAGGATGCAATCGTATAGCTTAAGGCTAATCTGAATATTTCATGAAATCAAGATGAAAAAAAAGATGGTCAAAAACTTAGACGTTGTTTGCTTAGTGAAGATGAATAGAGGTTGGTCAAAGAGTTAACTAAAATTTTTGAGCCATTTGACCAGACAATCGAAGTATTTAGTGGTGAAAAATACCTAATTTTGTCTGTTATTATTGAAGTTTTGAAGTCTGAATTTAATTTAAATTTATTTATTGAACCGAATATTGATAAATATAGTATTATTCAAGTTTATATAGCTAAACTAATTCCAGTGTTACATATTATTATTATTTAAATGATTTATTTTTATATTTTTTTAGAATCTGACATGAGTAATTATAGCGAAAGTGATAATAACAGTAAAAATGATGATGCTAGTAATCAGCACCAAGTATTCCCCCTATTCAATTTGTGATTTTACAGGTCAAACAAGAAATTCATAATTCTCTCCAAAAATATTAGAAAATTCTGAACAATGCAGATCTTTTAGCGATATTACTGGATTCGAGATTTAAGACAATGCACTCTTGGCCTAACCATATACAAGAAAAAACTATCAGATTATGTTGTGAAGAACTCAATACCATTGCCAATGATAGACCTTTATCTACTGCTTCTCTTCTGGCTACCACTTCATTAACCAACTGATATTTCGCTTTAATTTTTCAAGATAACTATAGTAATAGTGATTTTACAGATAATAAACTAGACAGATATATGGATATTAAAAGAGTTTCTGTTGCCCCACCTAATAAATTACCTCTAGAATGGTGGAAAGAATATGAAAAGACTTTTCAGGTTTGAGTTAGTTAGCAAAAAAATATTTAGCAATACCGGCTACCTTGGTACTAACCGAGCGCTTATTTTCTGATGCCAGAAATCAAGTAACTCCAAAACATGCTTGTCTTGGTTCAGAAACTGTTTCTCAAATATTATTTTTAAAAAGAAATAGTCATTTAATTGACATTATATAGATTAACTTTATATAATTATTATATATTAAATTTAAATATATAAAATTTATTTAAATAAAGTATTAAATGAAGCCAAACAAAAATAAGTTAGTATATGAAATTACGCATATTTTTTTAAAAGCCAGAAGTACAGATAAATATTAATCGAATTTTGACTCTGTATTAGTGTTTCTTTTTTTTGTTATAGCGGGGTATTTATGTCATTAATAGATTCCTCAATAAAAAGGTCTTTAATATGAGTCAAAAGCCTATAGCCACTAAGGATAACTTATAATATCTTGTCTATTACTAGCCCAACATAGTACATTTTATAATAAGCATTAAAAGCTCATCCTTGAATACTAATACAAGTATTGAGTTGAAAAATTCATAATATAGTTTTTTTTTTCTTGTTTCTGTGATCACTATAAATCAATATCCATATAAAAAAAGAATATTAAACTTTGTGGTTGTTGTTATTAATAAGGTCTGAGTAAAAAAATTTACCTAAACCATAATCCTGTGATATTTCACTTTAAAAAAACTTAGCCTGCTACAGTAGTTAATTAATTTGGACTGAATACTTTGTATTTTTAATTTGGCAAATAATCTGCTACAGGGTCATAGAAAGATATTCATATAATTGGCTAATTTTTGTAGATCTACTTGTGATTTTCTGTGATAGCTAACCAATCAAATTATATAATTTTTAAAAGAATTTATCATTCTAATACTATTAGAAAATGAAAAGAAACTCTATATAAAGAAGCTTACAAACTAATAAATATACGCAAAAGAATTTATTATATATATTTAGAGAATAGATAAATACACGTAAAATGAGTAAATGTGATATTTATTATTAATAAACTCTAACTCATTAAAGAATCTACAAAACATAAACTTAATTCTAATTTATGGTTAATAAGCCCAAATATACTAAAAAAACCAAACAAGTTTAAATATTAAACCCGGATCTTTTATGAAAGAGCTTGAACCTATTCAACTTAAAACAGTTAGCAATAACAATCTACTTAAATCTAACGCAATAAAGTAGCTTTGGACGAAAAGATTCCTAGTTACCTTCACTCACAGTACAATTTCACGCTGTTCAATAGGTGTTTGAATATTCTGTCTTCTAAGTAAAGTATGTTAGGAGTAAGATGATTTAGAGATTATTTTGCACTATGAATATTGACATTGTTTTAAAGTTAGAAATGGCTTTTGTGGTGATTTTTTATTAGTGAAATGTCATGTTTTCAAAAAGTACTTTAAAGTGTATAAATAAGTTACCTGAGTAATTAATTTATATCAACCAATCAAACGAATGTCCTTCTATAAGCCACAGGGTATTAGTAATAAACTGGATAACCTGAAATCATATATTTATTCAGGTAAATTTGAGTAATCTGGTTTATAATCTGGTTTGTTATCTATAAAAAGGTGAATAACCCAGGATTAAAATTTATGATGGGTACAACCTCTAGTTTAAATAAATTATAATTAAAGTTTAAAATTAGTTTTATTTTTTTATACTAAAAAAATTTAGTTTTATAGCAAATTTGTATAAATTTTTTTTAGTTGGTATAGTAGATATTTTTGAGTATAATTGATAAACTTAACAAAATTTTAGTGCAATACTTGATTTACTGATACAATCAACATATGATATTATATGTGATCAAGACTGATTTGATAATATTATAATAAAATAATTATTAAATTGTAATAATGATTCTGATTATAACTTGCTTATTAATATATTAGTCTTCACATTTTGATAGTTTGTATAACTAATCAAGTATAATTACTTGATTATATAGAGTTATAAATAGTGAAATTAAATCATAATACTATCTATTTAGGGCTATACCCAAACAGAAATTAGTATTTGTACAGTACCAAACAATAAAACATATTTAATATTTATTAGTAAAAACTTTAAAGTATTATAACTTTTGAAAATAAGCTAAATTAAAAAACTTTCTAATAAATAAATAGATTTTTAGATAAACTATATTTTTGTTAAAGAATTTTTTTATTTTTGTTTTGAAAAAGTTATAAAAAATTAAAGTTTATATGAGTTCAAAAAATTGGTATTTAATATAAAAAAAACTATATATACAATTTTAACCAATCAGAATCTATTATACAAAATTAGCCAATCAAAATTAATTATATAAGCATCAAAAATTGGTGTCTCTATATATAGATTAGATATCTTTTACTGTTCTATACTGTACAACTATTTCACTGTATTGATATTATAATAATTATCTATATAAAATGAAAAAAAATCAGATTTTTATATAATATAAATATATATAATTTAATAAATTAAACCTTATATCTATATCTAGTTAAAGAGTTATATAGTGGCTTTTCATCTTATTAATACTCTATTTCTGATATATTATATAGATGTTTAGTCAATACACAATTTTACAATTTCTAGATTCACTATAAAAATAGAGGATATTTAAAGCAGAGTCAAATTCACATGATTAATATTTAATAATTTTTTCGATTAACTTTAGGGTAAAGGTCATCTTATATTAGAATTAAATTAGGTTTTAGATAGTTATATATAAGCAAAATTGCCTTTTGATATTTTTGTTTAATTTATCTAAATAGGTTTAGACTACTATTTTTTGTATTATTTAGGTTTTTTATTTTTGTTTCTTGTGTTGTTTTGCTAACAATTATTAAAATTCTATAATTTGATTGGCTATGATTATGTGAATTTAACTTCGCTTTAGATAATTTTAAAAATGGCAATACAATTTCAGAATAATATCTGTAGATATTCGAGAAACACAAACTCTTTCTGCTGATCTACATTTTGCAACGAATTTCTAAACAACTCAAGGCTAAATTATTATTTTTTGGAAAAAC